GTTTGTTGTCTATCAATTGTTCTCCAATGTTTAGGAATTGGGAGATTTCCCATCAAAATAAACATGCATTTTGAAAATTGTCTTGAAAAGACTCATGTCTTAAGCATCCCGAAGCCTGCTTCCTCTCTAGGCAGTGATGAGCCAAACCGCCCCCGGCCCCTTGGGCCCCTCAGGAACTCTGTCTCCTCTACCATCTGACCTCTTTATTTGTCTGTGCACCTTGCTTTTTTACCCTAAAACATTAGAGCTAGTGAGCTCTGCTGTGAACTCATGTCGGACATCATAGCAGTTTCTCTTCCCTTTTAAGACTCTTTCACTTTTCCTTTTTGCCTTGTTATCTCCATTTTAAGGCCACAATTGCTGTGCAGCCAGAGGCCAGTGAGACTCCTGGAGTGCTCTGTCGGCCTGTGTCCTCCCACCTGGTAAGCACCGCATCCTAGAGGGGCAGAAGACAATAGGGCATTGTTCACTTGAGCCTTTTACAGCTCAGCATAATAGCTTCCCTTACTTCAATGAGAAGAAAGATTTGAACTAATAGTATTTGGACAGGATATCGTGTCTGCATCTTGTACTATGAATACCTAATACGAACACAACAATATGCAATGTTTTAATTTTGTAACTGTCCTACTAACCTGTTTTGAAACTGTCTCATTGCAATTTGTTTCTCAATAAAGTTAATTTTTAAAAAAGAAGACAAGAGGAGGGGAGGTGGTGACTTAGTAGATCAGGTCTAGCATCATTGCTGCAAGTCACATGCCTACAGTCAGAGGACAGAGGGCCAGTGAAGAATTTCATAAGGGAGTTGGTCAGGAGTGATGGGTGACAGAAAATAAGAAGCCAAGGAACAAAGATGAATTACAAAGAAGGGTGGACGTGGCCAATGAGCATGAGAAGATGTTCAATATTGCATCAGGAAAATCAGAAATAAAACAAACTATGTTACCTATCCACTGAAATGGGGAAAACTAAATACCAGTGGACATGAAGCAATTGGAACTCTCAAATGTTTCCAGAAGGAATAGAAAATAGAACTATCATTTTAGAAAAGAGTTTGGCTATGTTTGTTTTATAAGGTTAAACACTTCCTCACCATAGGTATATACCTCTAAGAAATGAAAACATGAATCCTTGCAAAAATGAATGTGTGTATAGTACTGAGAATAACTCCAGATGGGAATCAATCCAAATGTCACTGCATAGGTGAATGGAAAACAAATGGTGGGATGCACATTCCGTGCAGTGCAGCTGTAAGGTAGAGATGGAATGAACTTGGGACACACAAAATAGTATGTGTGGCTTTCAGTTATGCTGAAAACTTAGTCCTGCAAACTAAGGCAGAAATAATATTACTTACAAGTTTATGAACTTGAACTATCTTTAGCATTTCTTCTAAAAAACTGGTCATATTTGTGTCAATGATTAAAAAAAAAACTCTATATAGAATTTACTTCCTCAGTCCAGTTCTATTTAAAAAAAATGTTCTATTATATTACGTAGCAATTTAGAATCAATTATCACTCTGAAAACAAACTTGCTTTACTCTAAGTTCTGGCTAGATAAAGCATTCCGGGTTTTACTATGAATTGTTTCCGTAAAACTGCCACTGCTTCTAGTTTTCTTTTATTTTTGTTCTTTTTAAAGAAATAGAATACACTTTCACAAATTTCTATACTGTGCCTTAAGACAAATAAGTAGTCACCTCCAAAACTCTGACCTCACTGAGGCAGTGTTGGGGCATCTCCGGATGAGCCCACGCGTGAAGGAGAAGCAGATGTCGTGCTAGCGCGGTGAGCAGCAGCCCGGGGTGGCCTAAGCCCAAGTCTCTCCATGATGGATGTAGCCCATTTGGTTACAGATAAATACATATTGAAAAGTAAACCAAAGAACCCTGTATATGCTGCCTTTAACTTTTTGTAAACTAAGTTGAATTGATAACTTCAGTTTTACTGAAAGGCTGATGTAGTTCAATGTTTTGAAAACATCAGTATTAATTTTGAGTTGGCAGAGGTAGCCTAACCAACCACTATCATGTTTGGTACTAAGAGGTATATCTTTCAATAATATTATTGAAATGCATCAGTGGAATAAACACTTCCCTGGCAAGCACAAGGGCCTGAGTTCAATTCCTGGTTAAAAAAAAAAAAAAAAAAAAAAAAAACCATGCAATTATATGAAATTTATAGGCTGCATTAATCTAGAGTTATGGAAAGCAGATCCCTGACTTCTCGGGGCCAAAAGTGAGATAAACCTGACTGCAGAAGGGCATAAAGGAACTTTCTGAGGTGTTCAAATTATTTTAGGTCTTGCTAGTGATACAGATTGCATAGGTGCATATAGTTGTTAAAACTCACAGAGCTGTTTATCTGACATACGTGCATTGTTTCACGATAATTTGAACCTTAGTGATGTAGACTACACAGAAATGCTTCTGAGCAATTTAAACACGCGGCAGGAAGCCTTAGGAAGGAAACAAATTGACAGCCAGGACAGGAGGCAAAGCAGAGGTGAACAGCAAAAGGCGTGGCGAGACGTCAGAGTACTAAGGTGGCGCCCAGATAGGCCTCCGGAACCCTTAAGGCCAGCCCAATGCTGCTTCTCCCAGAGCTGCCCGCAGGAGTGGCTACTGCCTCCTGCTGCTTCCCTTAGGAAATGCAGCCTCTTCGCTCAGTTTAGTAGTCCCCGCTGAAGAACTTTCCAGTTTTTCTTCATTGCTTCCTACTACAAAAAGCCTATTCACTTATACTTAAAAATAAAGTTCCATTGGATTCCAGCCACACTCATTTGTGCATGGTCAGGGACGGCTTGCCCCCTGCAACCCCCCAGTGGCTTCGTTACCTGATCCACTAGGGAAGAAAAGTGTCACGCCTTGCTGTGAAGCCAAGCTTGCTTTTGACAGTTACATCCGCTGGGCTCCCGCCCACCTCTCCTTCCCTTTCTATTTAGACCTATTCTCCACTCCTGCCTTACAGGGCCCAAGTGTAATTGTGCTGGTCATCCTACTGCCACTAGCCATGCTTGCTAATTGTCCTGGCCCTCATACCTTTAAAGTACTTCTTGCAGGGGCTAGGGCTTTGGCTCAGCAGCAGAACGCTTTCCTAGCAAGCTGGAAGCTCTGGGCTCAGTCCTCAGCACCAAAAGCAAAAAATTAACCTCCCCTAAAGTACTTCTTTCTTTCCTATCATTGTAAGTCCTGCGCCTAATCCAGTTTCTGTTTCTTCCTTGGAGTTCTGTCCTGCTTGCTGCCCTCACATTCTAACACTGTGATGAGTTGGGGTCACACGGTGGAGTCCATCATCCCTCCTTTTGGCTTGCTTTTATATGCAACTTATCCAGAAAGTGGTTAAGGAATCACTTGCTACATTTTCACTTCTGCAGCCTCCCTTCCCCTGGCCACTCAGCGTGCAGGGGAGGGCGTCAACATTCATGTTTCCTGTGGCCACTTCCTTCTGTCCCTACTCCCAGAGTCCCAGGTCACTGAGGCCTGGGGCCTAGGACTGCCGCCGCATCACCTTGATTGGTCTTTGGGCTCTTTGCTTATCCCTCTGTTCTCTGTCTTGCAGATGGCAGTTAATATATCATTTTAAAAAAGTAAACCGTACCATTTTCCTCCATTCCTTCAAATGTTTCTAGTTATTCCCTCCTCCCTGCCGCTGTTTCCCCTCCTGCCGCCTCCTGGGCTCACTGCGCATGCCCAGGGCCTATCCCCAGGGCCTATCCCCAGGGCCTATCCCCAGGGCCTATCCCCAGATTGCATAGCCTCCTTTCTCTTTCAGGGAGGCAGCATGATACGTAGGCTACCTCCATTGCATCCTTGCTTTGTGGTTTACCTTCTGCCTCTTCCTGCCCCTTAGCAGCCGCCATGAAGACAGACACTTTCCATCCTGCTACTGTTGCATCCCCAGCACTCAGAGTAGCACCTGACTTACTAGGACACCTCCTGGGTCAACTGGTGGATGAACGAAGGCTTGAAAATACACTAGGCAAATCACAGTCCTTATGCGTTCTTGTTTTTTCCCTAAAATGTTCTTTTCCTGCAGATGTTGTTTTTCGACGGTGGCCCCATAGAATTATATTGCCTATAGATGTCACAGACATGGTGCATAATTACAAAACTGGCTAATGATGCATTTCTCAGGAATCATCACTGACCAAAAACATCACTACTTGGCACATAAGTGTATTGAGCAAAAGCCCTTCTACATATTCATTGCATTACCTTTTCTGATGCTTTTCTTTCCTTAATGCTGATAGCAAGCTGATGCCATTTTCATTTTTGTTTAGGGAACCTTTAATCTTTAAATGTTGGTCTAATTGATCTGGCCAGATAGCTCTGTGGATTAAAGCACCTGCTTAGGCAGCTGCAGGGATGTGGGTTCAATCCCCGGTGTGCCATGTTGGCCCTGCCCCCAGGTGCACTGAGACAGCAATTGAGACTGAGCGTTGTGGCACAGGCCTGTAATCCCAGCAAGCACTTGTGAGGCTGAAAATAGGAGGATCACTACCAGTCCATTTGTGCAGTGAGACCTTGTAGACCCTGTACTAAAATACATAATAACAAACAAACAAATAATTAAATAAATGCTGGTCTACTGGTAGAGACTTTTACTTTTATATAGCTGAAAATGTTTTTATTCTTCTCTCCTTTTTTTTTTTTTTCGGAACCGGGAATTGAACTCAGACCCTTGCACTTGCCAGGCAAGCACTTAATCTACTGAGCCATCTCCCCGGCTCCTCTTCTCTCCTTTTTACAGACATTTTTGCTAAATAAAAATTTACGGTTGTACTTTATAAATGTTGTACTCTGTGTTTTTTAAATGTTGACCCATAATCTAGCTTGTACAGTTTCCAGTGAGAAATTGTTGTAATCTTGATCTTCATTTCTCTGTGCAGTATGTATGTTTCCATGACTGCTTTTACAATTTTTCAGTTTATTAAAAGTTTTGACCAATCTGAGAAAACAAAATAAAGATAAAGATGCTTCTGTCTCATTCTTACAGGTACTTCTGTTGTGACTGTGCAAGCTTTTGCTTCTGAAGCAGTTGGGGACAGCGTCAAATATTCAGTGTTTAGTGGAAACAAAGATGGAGTGTTTTCCTTGGGTTCCAGCTCAGGTAATGCTCTCTACCCTCCAGCAGCTTCACTTCTGCTCTGTTTAGAGTTACTAGTAACAAATACTTCTCCAAACTTGGAAGGGTAAATATTGTTAGAGATAAATAATTTATAAAGTAAACATGGAAGTTTTTGTTGTAATCAATGAGAAATTGCAGAAAATCCAGTATGACATGTTGACATGTATATATGTGTATGTGCATTTGCTAAGAGTTCTTTTCTAGTTACTTCTGAGTTAGACAGTGTCTATCTAGCTCTTGGGATTTTTGAAGTTGAATTGGCTTTTACTTACAGTTTACCAACCTGTGTGGGGAAATGGGGGTCTAGTAGGGAGATTCATTGGTAGTGAGTTTACATGAGGAGAAGCACACATGCCTGCCTAAGGGAGTTTAATCAGAGAATCTTCAACTCATCACTGAATGGCAACAATGAAGAGAGAGAGAGAGAGAGAGAGAGAGA